AACCGCAACAAACGTGACTTGAGCGTCTTTATAAAGACAGAAATTGTGAAGTATTCTATAAAGACGCTCAAGCGGTTGCGGTTACTAACATCTAACCCACCTAGAAAGCATCAAATCATAGTATGTGAATAAACTGATAAAAGATTATGAGACACATGGTTGACGGGCGGCAAGAACTGTGAAACGGGTCGTGTGCTTCTAGGAAAGTTTTGGTGAGTCATTCATATACTGCTTATTGTGAAATACATATTTACGTATGAATTCGTGGCAAACGAGCTCCCTAAATGTTATATGTTTTACGGAAATATGAGCAGCCTTTATTAAGCATGATAAACAGCAGCAGCCGTAATGCTTGTACAGCATCAATGCAAATGATGGTAAAATGCAACCGCTAACTACCAGACAGTTGTAGTATAACTCACTTTTGACGAATTCCTCACATCTAGGCTGTATGTATCTGTTTGGTGACGACGAGCACTGCGCTTTGATAGGTTTCCCACATGCACTTCAGACAAGACAACCGCTGGTTTCCGGGGGGAAATGATCTCATCCTCATCTGGATTCACCGATGTCATATGGGACTCTTGGTTATGACGAGAAACCGACAATAGTTGTTGTCGAATCAGCTGCACATTATCATTATCACCATCCGGCCCGTGATTCTTTGAGTTCACTTCGTGCGGAATGCATTCATCGCCAGCGGGGCCGTCGCGGAACGATGAGATGTCAACAAGACGAGCGTTATCTGGTAATGAGAACTGAGTCACATCACACGTCTCCATCGCGGTTAAGGCAATCTGTAACTGTTGTATCACTCGTTGTTTCTCTCGAAGTTCCTAAAACACGGAAATAGTAAACAGGCGAAATTTGGAATCCTTCGAAATCACCACTTTACAGTGTTTGTGTCAGTGCTCACTGCGAACGAACCGAGTACTACTGTTTTTGAATGCCCAAACGATAAACGCTCTGGGCAAAAGTGAAGACTGATCTTTTTGAGAGTTAGCGAATTTCATTCAGCAAAAATGCCAATAAGTCACAACTGCGGTATACATACAACCTTTTCGGGTCAACAGGGATGGATTAAAGAATAATTTTGAAATCAAGCAAATCACAAGGCACAGTACACTGAAGATAAATGACCTAGGAAATACTGGTAGAGAAAAATTGGCAGCGAAATTCGGAAATTAATCAAGAGTAGTGGTAAGGGGGTAATATGAACGAGGTTAGTAGGTCGCCAGTGGTGTACGACAGCTATTAAACAAAGTAGGAGGGCCCGTCCGTGGACAGGGCGTTCCCGAATTTGATCTCAGCGAGATTGATGGATTCACATAATCGACGGCAACTACTAACTACACAGATACGACGCCAAAAAAAAGAAGGGGTTAAACGCGAAAAACAGAAAACGAAGAAAATAAAACAGCAAACTTGGAGAATAACAACTTTTTAGATTGGTCACTGAATGCCGTTTGATCTTTTCTGTTTGTTTTACTTTTGGGATCCACGCAAGTGACTTTCGTTTGATGTCACATTTCGCAGTGTCTCCAGCCGAAGGCAATCTGTATCCATGAGGACTCAACCGCGGAGTCCCGACAGAAGCCGAATCCGAGAACAATCTCTTAAACCCTCTACGCCATGTAACAGCCTGCCCACCTCGCCGTTTCTTGTATCCTGGAACAATGTCTGCTAATAGCACGCGATATAGCAGACATTGTTCAGGCATTCGTAGGACGTGCCCCAACCAATCGGGACGATACAAGGAAATGGACCTGCTCAGTGAAAGATTATCTGACCTTAACACGCGTCCGATCTTATCGTTATTTATACAATGCTCCCACCACACGCGGGCGATGCTGAGCAGAAAATGTTCATCAAAGACGAATGGCCACTGGACGTGATCTCCTCAGAGTGACCGGGTTTCACAGCCATGGAGGGACATGGCGCATACGTTGCGCAATACACATGGATTTTCATTGAAAGGGATATGTAGCGCCGGCGCCAGAGATGTCGCAGATTACCAAACGCTAATCTTGCTTTTATCATACGTTGAAGTCATCCAAATCTCCGCCAACCGTCATACAACCCCCCGAGGTAGACAAAGCATTGACCACTTCCAGGGTGTCACTTTCCAACAAAAGTGCACAAACGGGTTTCTGTCAATCTTGAAACACCACTATGTATATGAAAAGTGTAAAGAACACGTAATAACGAGTAACCTTAATTATTAAACGAATTAGCGAGATTGGATTTACCCGTGCGTTGTAACCGAGTACGGTGATATCATCGGCACACTCTAAGTCGACGACTCTGCCTACAGGAAGAAGCCCAAAGAAAGAGTCTGTAACGTTAGATAACGCTTTTCGTAGAACACCATCTATGGCAAAGTTGAAGAGGAACGGAAAGATTCAGCAATCCTGTCGTACCCCACTCGTGATAGTAAATGACGATGAAAGTTCACGATAGGCCCTAACCTTCCCCAAGGTCTAACGGTAGTGCTTTTAGAAGCAGGGCATACTTCTCGGGTAGTCCGAAACTCGGCAAACCGTTCTACAGTGCGGTGCGATCGATAGAGTTGAATGCCACTCTGAAGTCCAAAAACACGAAAATAGTATGTCGTCCGTCTGTGTTGCGGTGTTCTAGCAGTTGAAGAAGGCTGATGATTTGATCTATGCAACTTCGGCATGCACGAAATCTGGCCTTCTTTTCGCGGATTGGTCTTTCGTGAAATGGGCTCAGTTTGCGTAATAAAACGGACGCTAACAGCTTCGGCGCATTATGAATCACACTGACGACCCTGCGGTGGAAACAGGCGTTGCGACAGCCTTTCTTGTAGATGGGTATATCAATCGATTCTCCCCATGGGGTCTAGTCTCGTTCTTTCAGATCTTCGAAAACTGTCTGGCAAGCTTCTTCATCATCTTTAAAGAGGACCACTGTCAGGTTGTCTGACCCAGACGCCTTGTGGCATTTCAGGGCTTGAAGTTCCTTTCGGATCGCCTCTTCTGTGGACGGTTCAGTGGATAGTGAACAGGGTGCACTCTCAGGAGAAACACTTGGAGTATCTAGTGCAGGAGGCTGGTTAAACTGCGATCTGAAGTGCCATAACAGCGTTGGAGGAGA